AAACTTTGTTTCTTAAATGATACTAATAAAAAAATAATTTATTCATAATTTTGGTTATTTATCGAATTACAAAAATAGATTTTCTCGCTAATTAATTTGAGAGCTAAAATACATGTAGTCTTCATTACAGACATAGAATTCAAAACATATTTAAAATATACACGTATGCTTTAAAAAATAATTTCTGTTTTTCTTAAACATAATTCATATCTCTAATTTATTACACATTTAATAATATTATTGTTATTATTGTAATACCGTCAATTCTTTTCTTGTTATTATGTACAAATTTATTCATTCAGAGTTTATTAACTTCGTTTATGTAAAATATTATTTTATCAATCACAATTGAAAAAGTGACGAATTTTTTAAATTTAGAGAACAAAACCAGCAACGTCGTAGTCATTGCTTCTAATATTGTATCTGACTTTATTCTAAAAATAAAAACTTATTTTTATTATAACATAGAATTTCTTTTTTCCGAACTACGAATAAATTGTGGCCTATGTGGTACTTTATTGTATCTTTATCGTTATTCGTAAGTACATGTACATGTACTACATGTATTTTTATATGCACACTGTGTTACGATTGAATTTATCTTTTATGTATAATACATGTAATAAGAACTTGAAAAAAATTCGTCATTGTCAAAAAACTAATAAAAAGAGAGAAAGTACAAAAAATTAAGGACGCCATTTCTATTCACGTCTTGTAAAGATTCACGGGCTACGAGCAAACAGGTAGCGCATACAAACATTGTAAATAATAAGAATAAGAAGTATGTCTAGAATACTCCGATTGCCGATAACAAGTCACAGCATCGAAGAGCAATATTCATTTGAACTCGAAGGCCATGTAAGGAAGAAAAAACGCAAATAAAAACAAAAATTATCAATAATTTGTTCATTTTTTATTAGAATCATTTAAGAAACAAAGTTTATCAAACACACAAAATAAATAGATAACAAGATCCGAATTCAATCTTAGAATAAAGAAATTCAATACGCTCTTAACAGAAACGCGTACACCACGAATTTTATACATGTTCTCAGCAGCATTCGTTGTGGGAGCAATGGCAATTTTGATAATTCTTGCTTATAGGAAAGAAATGTCATTACAAAATGACCTTGAAACAAACGAAAATTCAGTTTCGCCTTATTTGTGTGCAGGATTCGGGATTGTGTTTGTTGTGTGTTTGAATGCTTTGATATGGCAATTTACTGTCACCAAAAAAATACGTGATAAGGTTAATTGACCTCCTTTTTCATGATCATATAATCATATAAGGTACTAAAGATATTTCATTCTATATTTTAGAAAAAAGCAGCGATAAACAAATTATTACAAGAATTTAATAAAAAAGATAATCCAAAGCATTTAAATTGGAGATTTGCTACCGAACCTCCAAATGCAGGTGCCAGATATCAAAATGTAAATAAGAATTGATTTAAAGCAATATTTTAACTCAATATATTTAATAAATTTCTATTGTAAAAAATTATTTAAAGGTACTCTTAATAGAGATTGGCGAGCCAATAGATCTACCAATATACGTAATAAATATATCGGAGACACCGGAACTTGAAAACTACCTAAGATCAGTTAATAGCAACGATAACAATAACAATTCTTCAATTACTCAGCAATTACATAGCTCGACATTCGACTACGAATTACCTTCATATTGTGATTTAATTAAAGATAATGCATCTTTGATTCAATAACATAAGGATTACATAATTATGTTAAAGGTGCCTCCTCGAAGCTAGACCTTTCATTCAGAATGGAATTTATAATTGTCCTATTGACAATGGTAATTAATCATGTGACACAAATATAACTGCGGCAAAGCCAATTTTAGTCATATTTACATCTAACTCTTAATTTGTACTACATCTTTTACGTAAAGAATAAAAATAGTGAACTATCACAAGTCCGAAAATAATTATATCACGTGATTCTGATGTCATTTGAAATATATTTTTCGCCATGCGACTTTTATGATAAGTCCTTTCTTTATAACTCGGATCTTTCGAAATGCAACTTTGCTCGGATCAACCTTTTGATATCATGCATTTAGAGAGTTATAAAAAAAATTGTATTTATGAAAGTTAAGAATATATTTAAATCAGAGTTTGAGCTTGCATTTGAAAATATTGCATTTAGAAAGATATTGCATTTAGAAAGATGGCATTTAGGAAGTATATTAAAATCTGTATAATGTCATATAGATCATGAGATATGTACTCTGTATTTTGTATTTCTTTTTAATATAATAAAAATAAGATGAGATATATAAAATAAAGAATTTTATAGAAAATCAATAATTTATCTTTATATTAAAATTGTTAAAGAATACATAAAAATAAAGTATACTGTTTATATTTTTATTTTATATAAATATTATTTATTTATTAGAATTATATATTTAGAGAGAGATATAATAATTAATAATAATATATATATATATATATATATAATTTATATAATTTATACATTATAATTAATAAATCAAATCAAATCTTTTTATAGTTATCACACTTGAAAAAACAAAATTGAAGGATTATAAAGTGATGTAACTATAAAGAGATCTTTTTAATTAATTATTGAAAATTAAAAAGGCAAATTATAAAAAAATATAATTATAAAAAATGTAATTATAGCGATTTTTATTTATATGAAAATAATTAATTATATTATAATAATTAAAATATTACAAAAAAAATTCAATATTAACTTGTTTTAAAGAGTTATTTTTGTATCTTATTATCAATTTTAACAATACTTATTATATTCTAATCTGATAACAATATCTTGTTATACAAGATATTGCAAAATTAAATTTATAATCTTCTGTATCTCTTTATAAGTAATCCTTTATCACTTTATATTATTATCTTTCTTTTTTTTTTCTTCTTTCTTATTTGAATATACAATTAGATTTAAAATTTTCTAATTAATAATATTTCTTTCTTTTAAAACATTAATATATTTATTAATATTTATTTGGTTTTGAAAATAAAGTAAATTAATATTTTTTTATAACTGTTTCAAGTTATTGTCGTTACAATAATTATTACTATTAATAATAATAAAATAATAAACTTCACAACATTAATTATTAGAAGAATATTTGTATATCAAAAACAGTAAAATATCATTACTAATAATATTTTAGATCAAGCTTAAATAATAAATTATAGAATAATAAGAATATCCATTATTATTTATGCTCAATTTCAGATTATAAAATAATACATGTACATTGGCATTATTTATTAACCTAAAAAATTATGGATTGTCGCTTGTCAGAATTTTGATTTGTCGGGATGTTGTATTTGTATTTTGATATAAAAGGTCACGATCAGAAAATAACGATAAATAGTAATTCTTACATTTTAGATATTCAATGTAAAATTAACAATTACCATAACTTGTTCTGCAAAGCCACAACCAAGCATTAATTTGATTGAATTCCTAATGTGTAGATATGCCGGAATCATTTTCAAGTACGTATACAGGTTAAATTGTTGTAATTGTCGATGATAAGCCACAATGAAAACGTTTTCATAACAATTCGACTTTTAATCAATCAAGTATAAAGGCAAGTGCGCTCTTTATTAAAGAAATAAATATACAAAATAAAAATTATCAGAAAAACTCATAATGATATTTGCAAGTTTCTGTATCTTTTCTGCCATTATGATCCTCGTGACCTTTCAAATGCAAACTAGTGTATTTGGACGACCAGAAGAGTTAGTAGTATATGACCAATTACTATCGTCATAAATAATTCTTTTTATTTCTTCATAATAGAAAATCTGAATATTTTATAAACAAAAAAATTTAATAGTGATTTTAAAAACCAAGACTACAACAATAAAAATCCATACTATTTTGATCCTTTGGATTTGATTCGACCTGGACGAGCAACATCACCTGGGATTTTTCCTCCAAATTATCTTGGCGCATTTCTAGGTCCGAATTTTGCATCCTACAAATATTGTTTAGAGTCGGTCGCGCCTGGCTTTGAGTATATATGCAATAATATAGGAGTTTAAGATTAATTTGTTTTTTTTGTAAATAATGCATAATTTACTATATATTATACAGAGATTATTAAGTATATGTACATAGTTGAAGACAAAACTTTCGAATTTCATAATAAATAGAATTTTTTTGTATCTACTTTTATAATACAATTGCTTCACTCATAACATCAAAATATGGCTAACTGAGCCCATTTGAATATTATTTGCTTTTAAGAAGAAGTTGCACCGTGAACACTATCAATAACAATCATGACTAACTCGTAAAAATTCTCGACTCTTCTATAAATCTAAACGACCGTAAAAACCATTCATACGGTTTTTTGAGATTATTGAAAATTTGGTGCGCATGCAGACATAGATTGCATCTCACGAATTAGTGATACGCTAATGCTAATAAAAAAATCAATTATATGACTTGAATACATACGTCGTCGTATCCCACCCAGATTTAAAAATTTTCAGCATGAATGCATAACATCTAAAAACTTTGCGTAGAGTTTTATATGAAAAGAATATTATTTGCTCTGAAGATTTGGAAATAACCTATAATTCAAAAAATAATAGCATTTCTGAAGATTCGTTTACTAGGTTCATCGTCAGATTCACTGTTGGATTCATTATCAGATTCATTGTTGAAAGAGGAAGAGTAGTTCTAATGTCCGTTGAATTAAAAAATGCTGATATTCTTTGTTCACGTGGTTTAGACAAGCTTTCTCTAATAAATGCTTGGGGATTATTAAGAATCTCTTCTGCTGTTTGAATATCTTGCAAATGTTCTATTACATTACTTGTCGAACCAAGCCAGGCATAATTGGTCATATATCTATTAAATCGACAAATAACTAAACAAAACTAGTTTGCTTTGCACCAAAATTTAATATTAGGTCCAATATTGGAATTGGAAAGCTCGAAGTCGTTCTAAAGAACATCGTTTAACTTTAGACATTTAGGGAAAAAATTGAATTGAATAAATTTGCATTTATAACTATATCTTTATACTATTAAACTATAAATAATTTAACAAATCATTAAATTAAAATTGTCTTTTGTAATTATTAAAATAATTGAATATTTATCAAATTAAATCATAATTGTTCAGTTGATAACTCAACTAACTAAATACACTGCCTGGACAAAGGTCTTGCACATCGAAAAATTTTAATTACACATAATAATTACATTTCAAATTTTAATATGGTGTTGTTTTGATTTTGAACAAATGTGTTATTTGTAAATACATATCAGATAAATCTGCAAGCACATCTAATCTTTATTGATCTTAAAATGTCATTTCTTAACTGAAAGTCAACAAGGTGAAATTATTGGCCTTTACAAAAATAAGTAATCAGTACTAAAAATTAGTAAAATACTCAAAGTTTATAGAACAACTGTCACTCGTATTATTAAATAAGTATCTTGCTATCTGTCTCTGGTATGGGCCTCTGAAATTATTGACCAATAGAAGTCAAAATATTCTAAAGACTAGTAAAAATAAATGGTAAAATGAATAGATTTGACTATATAAAAATACTTGAAAAGCATTTATTACCCTTAATAAAGGAAGAATTTAATTGTAGAGAGTATTGATTTTAAGATGATAATGCTCCAGTTCATATTACTAAAGTTGTTAAGAAATGGATTTTAATAAACAAAATCAAAGTCTTGCCAAATTGGCCAAGTCAGTCTCCTGATTTGAATCCAATTGAGTATTTATGATCAGAGCTGGAAAGAAGAATAAGAAGCAAATCATGGGCAATAACAAAAGTTGCAGAATTAGAGATAGCATTTCAGGAAGAATGGGATAAAATTTCACAAAGTCAAGTAGTAGTCTTAATAAAAAGTATGTCATGGCAAATAGAAGCTATTATTGTAAACAATGAATAGCCAATAAAATATTGATTTATATATAGTTACTTCATTGGTTCAAGTATAATTTGTTAAAATTTAAAATATAATTATTATGCGTAATTTTGTATAATTAAGATTTTTCGATGTGCAAGATTAGTATCTATATACATAATATCAAATCCGAAGGTCCGATTGATATTAGACAAATTATAAAGAGATAAATTTCATATACATTTATTTAATTGTTGAAAATGTTCAAGGGTATTTTTTTTAAATAAAGTACGTGTTTCTAAAGCATCCAGCTCATTTGCATATCAATATTTATAGACACGAAAATTTTTTGCTATTAAGCTCAGACAGAATGTCTAAATAATGCTGAGGCAAGTTTATTATTTATTTTCAATTTTCTTCTTAATCACTGAATTCCATCTATATTAAATAATTGTGAAATACTTGATTATAATATATAGTTTAAAGATTATTGATCTGATTTATGTTTTGGCTTATGGATGATTGAGTGAAAAAAACATAATTTATTTGTTATAAAATAATGGTGAAAATTTTATCATAATTAATCTTTTAAAAAAGAATGATGTGAAAAAATGCATGATATTTCTATGAATCTATTTCAAAACAAACACATAGGCTGTTTTAATGTATTCATATTATTTATAATTTCGAACATTATTGACTGGAAAGTTTAAGCTCCATCTATTTATCACTCGAAGTCATTCTCATTAACATTTTCTATAAATAAGGATCCCGAATATTAATATAATTCGATCGGTGTATTTCTTTTAGGGCGCACATAGAATTTTGTTTAATCAATCGTATCTTCACTTGATCTAATTCGATTTATTTATTATCACTAAATACAGTACTTGAAACTTTTATATTGTTAAGGCTATAAGATAAAATTATTATTGAACATTATGCGGGTGAATAGCAAAGTCGTGATTAGTAAAGAATTAATAAATATAAGTAATCCGAAAATGTTGTTCCAGATCGGTTTACTCCAAGAAAAGACGGTCCGACAATGAAGACAGTGTAAGGCACGGAGGACCCGACGAAGAGGATTTAAAGGATATGGATTCTTTCCTATTGTTCTCAATTATATAACACGCCGATTGATAATACCGTATATCTCCGAATATAAGCAACCAAAAAATGCAAGATTTTGGCAGGGCAAAGGGGGGGGGGTTGCTTATATTCGAGTATAAATTTATTATGTTTTATATATAATATTTTCAGAACCTCAGGTCTTAAAAAGAGGTGGTTGCTTATATTCGGAGGTTGCTTATATTCGGAGATATACGGCAATATTAATTTTTATTTGTTTACAATCGCGAAATAATACAAAAACATACATTATCCTCATATTAAAAATATTATTAATCGTTGACCTGCTATATTAAACATCGATCTCCGAAAAGAATGTTGGTAACAGTGGCAGCACGCAATCTGCAAGATTAGATCGAGTGCAACTCGCATCTCATCCGAAGCAATTTGTGTGATTATAAATATTAATGATTTTAAAAGTATCATATGTACGAAATAGGATTAATATTTTATTTTTCGTTATTACACATCATATACACGTACATGATGCATACATGCACGGTGTTACCCGGTATACCTCGTTTCTGGAATCTACCGAATAAACTGTGAATCTCCCCGACCAATTTCTACCTTAGAAGTAGGAATTCGGGCACGTAAAACTATGTGGGCATGCCTTTATATTATAAATAATGTTTTATCAGCATATTATTTTGAGACAAAGGCTTGATTTTCTGTTTTAAGAAAGTTTTATAATATAATATTATTATATAACTAGATCAAACTAAAGATCAAAGTTGAATTTATAAAATTCATGATATAATATATAATAAACAGATAATTACAATATTTTCTCCGATTTAAAATGAATATTTTTAACCAAATTATAATTATAATTGTTAAAATATTATTATTCAATCAAAATTTTAGAATTGGATAATGTATATGTCTTATACTATATATTAATAATATACTTTTAATATTAAAAATGCAGTTTATTTTATAAATCGGATCTCCCCCAACATCCCGACACCCAACATCCTGAAATCCAACATCCCGACAATCCAACATCCCAAAATCCAACCTCCTGACAACCCAACATCCCGACAAAAGCCAATAATTGATAGAGAGGGAAGAATTATAAATGTAAATGCTGTTAATGATCGAGCAAATCATTCAGTATTAGATTTTCTTCGTGAAATTGTGCACAATCTTTCTTTGTAATGATATGTGTTGCTTTTATTCTTTATATAAGATTTACATTCAATTTTCTTAACTTTTTATTACATGTAATTAAATTCACGTTCAATTCTCATTTATTATAAATCAACTAGTTATTAACGAATTAAAAATAAAGTTGCGCAATTACCAAGAATTATTTATCACGTTGATGTTTAAATGTTAATAAATACTAGTTTTTTGATCCCTATAATGGACTAGTTTGTTGGAAAGCTGGGTTGTTGGAAGTTGGCTTTGTCGGGAAGTTGGTTTTGTTGGGAAGTTAGATTATTGGGAAGTTAGATTGTCAGGAAGTTGGCTTTGTTGGGAAGTGGGATTGTCAGAATGTTAGATTTCGGGATGTTGAGTTGTGGGTTGTCAAGATATTGGAATTTCGGGAAGTTGAATGTCAGGATGTTGGGTAATAATTATATATAATATATAATAGTTTCCTTAATTATGGAATTACTTGAACAAGATTTTTTAAATTAAAATAATCTATCAACAAATAATGCGATAGTTACAAAATTTTAAAATTATTTGGCAGACAAATTTGTCTGCTTAAATTATTTTTGATCAGTTTTTGTAAAGATTTTTATAAGCATACATCTCTCCTTTCTTATGCATATCTCCGAGTATGTTACATTATTAATCATCTCATAATTCTCTTTTTACAGTTCTTTAACAAAAATCTAAATTTCCATCTCTCAAAAATAACTTTTAGAATTTTGAAATTATATTCTCTTTAACTAGACTAAATATATTATATTCAAGTTCAATCTTAAGTTCATTTTCTTTCAAAAATATGCAAATGATGATAAAGAGTATATATCACTTTAATATTGATTTTTATACTTTAAAATAAGAAAAGATTAATAATAATGACT